TTAATGCTTGAAGGGAGCCACTTTTTTTAAAATAATAATAATAAACATTATGTAATATAAATATGGATATTGACAAATTGAATAAAATAAGATAAATTAATTCATAATCACGCAAAATAAATTGAACTTTGAAATAAATTAATTGAACTCTTATCAAGTAATAACAAGCATAACAACAATGAAAATAACAAGTGAAATGAATAACAAAGATAATAACGAGATAGAGAAGAAGAAAAAAATATAACGAAAATAATAAGCATAAACTTTCAGAAAGTTTGATTAGATATATGTTTATGTAAAGATAAGAAGAAGAAAACAAAACTCCATATATAATCGGTTGGATAATTTAAAGAGTAAAATAAGAGAGAAAATATGTAGATTAAGTGTTATAAAGTGGATATTTGCCTAACGACAATATTATAAATAACAACTGAAAACTGACCATTATTATCATATTAGGTTAGTATGAACAATACTAGAAATTAATGTGACGTAAACAAATACAAAAAAAACACTTGAAATAATAATAAGGTGGAGAATAGGAGGAAGAAGAAGGTAATAAGGTGATATCGATGAACAGGGGGTGTTTTTATTATGAAATATAAGGGAGAGATTAATCACAATGGGAAAGTGAATTTTATATTAAAATATATTATTAAACAAAGAAAAAAAACAAGCTTGAATTGTTTTGCATAATAGGCAAGTGCATATATATATATATATATATATATATATATATATGCTTGTTTACACATACGTATATACATATAGCCTAAATTAATAAACCGTGACATTTAAATTTAATAAAACTAGTGGAAATATGTTTTTCTTTTGAACACACTAATTATATAGTATGAATGCGTACAAATAGCCGATATATTTTACGGAAAATGTATGTATGTGCTGGAATGAGGATATTTGTTCAGTTCTACGTGATAGTAAACATAGGCTTTTGCTATGAATAGTATATATATACATATATATTATACATATATTTTTGTTTATAAAATTATTCATTCAGTAAAATTATAAACTTTAACATTAAAAAAAGTTGAATTCTAGGAACATTGTGCAAACTACAAGCCTCCATAAAAAGTATGTCGAAGAATCTATTCTCTCATGTACAATGAAGAAAATAACATTAAGATTCTAATGACTAAATGTATGTTTATATATACAGTCGTGTATTCATGTGTATTGACATATATATATATATATATATATATATATATATATATATATATATATATATATATATATATATATATATATATATATATATATATATAGGTGTTCGTGCAACAGAAATTCTTAATTATACTGAATTACACATTGTCAGGTTGAAAGAGAGAAAAAAAGGTAAAATAAAAACTATTGAAAAATAGAAAATAATTGAATGTGAATATTTAATTATTTTTATTATAATATGGTTGACCAAATATGCACGCGATCAGGTGTAAACGATTTGAAATACATTTCTATGCTTGTTATGTTTTGTTTCTTTTTGTTGTTGTCGTTTCTTTTGTTTTTCATTTTCATCGAATGAAAAGTGTTCTACATCATCATCATCATCATCATCACCATCATCATCTTCATTATTAAAGTAGAATAGTAAAAAGTGTGAAATAAATCAACAATGTGGGAAAACTAAAGAGGCGAATATATTTTCTGAAATTTTTTTCCCTTAAAATTATAATTAAGTTTTTATGGAATTATGTATGGAAAATAAAAGGCGTGTTGTTTCCAGTGAATTTTTTTTCTATTTTTCTTTAAAAACAGAACTGTTTACAAGGGAAAATTTTCCCTCAGTCTCAAAGTAAATACATTTAAACAGTTATCTTTTTATTTATGGAAAATAAATTAATTCAGTAAATGTGCGAAGTTCTGTCAATAAATACAAACACTTTTTATACAGTAGATTAGAAAAAAAATGCCTAACGAAATTTGTTGTATATCAACAAATAGTTATATGCATATTCGTATTGTCTATACTCACAAACTGTAGACTGCTTCTTATAAGTCAATATTGAGATAAGCACTTTATTTCCTAGTCACTCAAGAAAATAACACACTCGAAGATTCTAAACAGAAATGGACGATGGTGCTTATAATGCTTGTGACTTCAGGCAGTATCGAGGAAATCCGTACAGGATGCACATATGCCAATAACAGACTGATCAATTACAATTTTAAACATCAATCGGAAGATTCAAAAAAGCAGAATAAAAAAAGGAAGATCTTAAGCTAGATCACATAGTGAGCTCGCGTATGTCTGCTGCTGAGGAGTTCCATATAATAAAACAAAACAGCGGTTCTGTGATTTATAGATATTTTAGTTTCCAGAGTCATTTCTTCACAAGAAGATCATAGCATAGGTATAGGAGTTAAATTACCAAGCTTTTGACGAAGTCAGAATTAACTGACATTCTACTTTTTACCTTGTTCACCAACATAGAAAGCATCGATAATATGTGGTTTAAAGAGTAAGAAAGAACAAGACTAGCATATTTTACTGTTTATTTTATATAAGTACCGTTTGTACACAGCACAGAGAAGAATGGTTACTCCTCAGAAGGTTTTCATTATGGTTAGCGAGCTGAAAAAGTGAAATAAATGGCTTCTTAACTATTATTAAGATCATGAATAATTTATCTTCAAGTTGCAATAAATATGTTTTCAGTTTAACAGGATATTTATCCTATTGGTATTTGTTTTCATCAAGATTTGGTATTAACTAAAGAACCGTAGCAAGCCAGAGACCAGTGGATATATACTTACTTACTTGCGTATGCCTGTTACTCCTCGTGAAGAAGCATAGGCCGCTCACCAGCATTCTCCATTGAACCCCGTCCTGGGCAATCCTTTCCATCTCTTTCCAGATTTTATTCATCCTTTTCATGTCTATTTCTATTTCCGAACGTAATGTGTACTTCGGCCTTCCTCTTTTCCGCTTCAGTTCAGGATTCCAAGTTACGGCTTGCCTCGTGATGCAGTTTGATGATTTCCGTAATGTATTTCCTTTCCATTTTCGTCATCTTTTCTTAATTTCCTATTCAGCGGGAAGCTGGTTTGTTCTCTCCCACAGAAGGCTGTTGCTGATGATATCCGGCCAAAGAATGATGAGTATCCTTCGTAGACAGCTATTTATAAATACTTGTACCTTCTTGATGGTGGTGGTGGTAGTTCTCCAAGTTTCAGCTCCATACAGTAGAACTGCGTTGAAGTTGGTATTGAAGGTTGTGACTTTGAAATTGACTGAAAGTTGTTTTGAGTTTCATATGTTCTTTAATTGTAGGAATGCAGCCCTTTGCCAATCCTCGCCTTTACGTCCGCATCGGATCCTCCTTGTTCATCGATGGTGCGAAGTCCAAATCGTCTAATTGGTTCTGAGCTGTCCATTGTATTCCGTGTTCTCCCTCAGATGTCGAAGTCTTCATAATCCAGTCGACCACCAGAAGAAAGAGGAAGGGAGAGAGTAGACAGCCTTGTCTGACTCCGGCTCCTACTTGGGATGCGTCTGCCAACTGTCCTCCATGCACTACTATGCACTGTAGTCCGTCGAATGGGTTTCGAATAATGTTGACAATCTCCTCAGCAATCCCGTAGTGTCGAAGGAGTTTCCATAATGCCCCCCTATCTACACTGTCAAATGCCTTTTCATAATCAATGAAGTTGATGTATAGTGACGAGTTCCACTCAACTGATTGTTCGACGGTGATCCGTTGTGTCGCAATTCGGTCTGTGTACGACCGATCCCTACGGAATCCAGCTTGTTGATCTCGAAGTTGGGTGTCTACTGCATCTTTCATCCGGTTCAGCAACACTCTGTTAAAGACAGTGGATATATACTTTATTTTAAATTGGAATTTCTCATTCGCGTAAAATTATGATAAACAAATATAGATCATTAGAGTCAACAATTCTCTACAAACCATTAGTTCAACAACTTAGGTGTTCAATGTAACCAAGTCAATTAACAATAATATTGTAATAGAGTATAATTTGTGTTGAACTGTTAGCCTAACGATATGTAAATGATCTATTAATTAACTGATGTGCTTAGCTTAACTAATAACCATTATTTTATTCATAGAAGCTTAAATAAACAAAAACGCAACAGGTACATAAATAACATTTTATATTCCATTATAAATATTAATAACATTTTTCTTGACAAAAACTACCCACATTTTAAAAATTTTACTAAAAATAAAAAAGAGATCACTTTATTAAAACTTCCACCCCCCCCCCGGAGAAATTTCCTCATAGTTTCTTCGCATATAAATTAAGCCAAGAAATCTCATATTATTATATATCTATGAATGAATCATGTCAAGATGAATGATGTCATAAACTTGCAGTCAATATTGATACAGAACCGGTATATATCTAGATGAACATGACATTATCCCTGTGAGAAAAAAAAAACAAACTAAAACCTATGATCTCATATGTGTATAGGATCAATGTTAATGACTTGAATGACTAAGATATTATATAATTTTAAGGTTTGTATCTATTTTATTTTATTTTTAAAAGGATCAGTGCTTTAGGCAGGGTCATCATCATTAATACCTCACACACAGACACACACACAGTCCTTATTATTTTTACGCTACTTTCCTCTGAAAAAAGGTTATTACTATTACGGCTCTTATTATTTTCATCATTGTGAGATATGACAGAAAAAAACTTCAACTAGCTATGAAGTATACATTTTCTTGTCAGTTTTTCATTTAAATATATTTTTGTTCATGGTTCAGTTATCTTAACCTTATGTCACCTGACACTTGAAAAACGGTAACAGGTGAATAGAAATAGTTTGCGTGTTATGCAAGAAACTACTTTTTTTCTAAAAAAAACAACAAACAAATGCTAATTAATATATAAATATCAGTTTTTATAATTTATATTTAATCTGTTCACTATAATTTTTTTTCTGTGTTACTAAAAAAAGGAAACATAATTTGTATGGTTTGTTTTACCAATTTTTCTGATAGAATCGGAACCTAAAGTAATTAATAGCGAATCAACAGCAAATTCTTCTGATTTAACAAATACAAAACCATTGGACATTGAATTACAATCACAACCGATTAAATCTTTACCAAATTCTTTATCTAACCAACTTTCATCAAATGATATAGCTCAGTATATTTCCACAAATACTTCAACGAATTCACTTCCCTATATCCCATTTGATTTAGTAAATAATTTAGAAACACAAATGAACGATAGTAATGCCACAGAATTAAGCCGAATTCCATTATCGAATACTCCGTGCAGTAGTGATGATTCTATAAATCACACATCAATAGCAGCTGCAGCCGCTGTTGCTGCTGCCGCATTTTCTACTTTACCAATCAACCCAATTGCAACAATGACAGCAGTTGGTGCAGTAGGCGATTCTCTTAGCAATCGATCATGGAACACTGTTACTCATTTATCTACAAATAAAAATGTAAACAATCAATCTACATTCAATCAACTGAGCTCAGAGGTTTCACCAACTAGTTCCATAGGAAACACCTCAAATTCTGTCATCCAGTCTGGTATACCACGAAAATCGCCTAATCAAATGCGCGTATTGTGTGATATTTGTAATAAATGGATCTGTAATAAATATTTTTTAAGAACACACAAAGCGAACAAACATGGCGTGACAGATCCGTCTTTAGGATCCTTAGAATGTTATCGATCTGGCCATGAAAAGTCATTTCCTACTATGAAATCACATTTGAATACATCTTTTCGACGAATAATGAATCAGTGTAGCAGAGATACATCTCAAGAAGAAGACAAAAATATTGGCGACTACACTAATCCAAATTGTATACTTAGTTCTCCTTGTGAATCCCAAGTATCGTTTAAAAATTCAAGTATAACATCCACTCAAGAACGACGGACCCAAAACTCCGAACAAACAATAATTAGTTGTGATAATTCAATAGGAACTCCTTTAACATCTAGTGATGTTTCATTCCCTTTGACATTCCAAACTACTGTTGCTACAAATTTACCTTGGCTTGGTTATGGGTTTCCATACCAATCATCATCATTAGTTTCATATCCAACAATTAACTATCCGAATATACTACCATTCCCAATGCTTCCGAACTCAGATATCTATCCATATTCACAGACAAATATAGCTGGAAAATTAGAGACAACGGAATCAGTTTTACATAAATCTGATTTACACAAAAGCTCAACAGATAAAGAATCTGAAAATGAAGAGAACAAGGTTAGAATTAGCCTAAATTTTTGTTATATATTTAATTAGATTCTTTGAAATAATAGATAGAAGGATATTTATAAGCAACTTTATAATAAAATGAAAAAATATAGCTTTCACTGCAAATAATTCAGTATTGAATAATTTAAGAATTTTCGCTGGTAAAATACCACCACTCCATACGAGATTAGAAAACAGAGCCCTTAAGTCATAATATGAGCTTTATACTATTTTAGACATTCGCTGGTACACAATTTTAACTTTGGCCAGTTTATTCATTCCTATTTGTGAATTATTAATTCATGTGCTTTCAACTTAAGTAACTTCATTTTATCACTACTTTTTGACAAAATTCAACTTTAACTCAGCTAGAAACTTTTTAACTTAGTCAAGTTATATGGTTTTAGAATGAATATTGCTTAAGCTTTTGGATTGACTGGAGGATATTTCAGTGCTGAATAAAGCGGAGAAAAACGGGAATTCTCGAGAGATTTCATCGAATTTCGGCATCTTTAATTGATATGTTTAAGAACTTCAAAGATCATATTTAGAATATAATCTGATTTAACAAATGATATTTATAGTTATTCATCATCCTAAGTATTTTACAACATCAACCTCTTAATTCATTGGGTATTTTCATTATATACATTGAATATCATAAATTAATTCATTAAACTAAAGTTAATCAACATAATATTGAGTAGAAATACAATCAAAGTTTAGAATAGTTCTTCGTTCAATTCTTTAGCTCAAGGGTGTTGAAGATTATATCAGTGATCTAATTTATGACGTAACCTATAGATTATAAAAGAGTTTATATCCTAGTTTATGTTATATGCTTACTATGCAAGCGGCAATAACATTACATACATAGAATTACTTTAGATTTTGTACCATATTGTCTAAAGTTTGATTCTTTATGCAATAAGTCATTAATATATATTAAAAGGTAATTTAACAATAGATTATTTCGTACAGTTAATAATATTGTATGTGCTCAAATCCCTTCTGTATTATTTGGAAAATAATTTCAGCTCTCAGTAGATTATCAGTCAATGTTAACTCTTTTTATCTACCTAGATGAATATATCTTCTATTGTACTTTATAAAAACAAATAGTTTCATAACAGTTAGGACCTAAATATAGAAATTTTAGTAAAATTGAAATTAGATTTGTAATTTTTTTGAGATCCCTGATTATATAATTTCATTTCTAACATTTAATCAATATTAATTAATCATTATTGATTTATTATTGATAAGTGGTCATTATAAATAGTACTACAAGAGAATTCTAATGATGATCATAATTTCTCAGTTCGTTTTTCTAAAAGAAAAAAAAACGAACAAACAACTAAATAACTAAAACCGATGCAATAAATTACGCCAATAATCAATAGTGGCTAAAAATAGAATCGTTTAGTTAAATATTTAAATGAGATTCATTATTGCAAAGAATATTGTATTCTTGTTTAATGTAGTTTGAAAACATGATCCATAATTCATGATTCTAATATGAATTGAAATGAGTTCTTTTTTCTCTTTACATCTTTCATTATCGGTTCATATTTTCCCATTTGTAGTGGAAATCACTTTTATCCATCATGTAGTTAAGTTGCAACAACAACAAAAAAATATTAACTGAACCTATTAAATTGATTATTTCAAGGAAACATATAGATTGTTTGGGAAAAAAAAACTAAGTAACTAAATAACCAATAACGAATGTATCACTTTTGTATACAAATAATCGATTTTGTTCAAAATGTTTACTTTTTTTAATGTTTTCTTTTGTTCTACTAAATTATTTCGTTTTTTTTCTCTCGCATTTTTCCTTTTTAACAGAATCCTTTAAATTTAAGTTTAAAAATAACTTTAGAAGATCCAAAGAATATTTGTTGTTGTACAGTATTGAATATAACAACTAATACTGTTTCTATTGGTAATAATAACAATTGTAGTAGTGTTACAACCAATATTACTAATAAGTCACAAGAAACAAACATAACAAATAGTAAGATGAATTGGTTAAAACGGGGACAACTAATGAAGAAATATTTTAAAAATCAATACTTTAGTTCATTTTGCATCAATCATTCACGTCAACGATTACATTACATATCAAATCAATTGTTATTATCATTACAATTAAAGAGAAAATCTATTCAATATGTTAGAAGAAAAATGTATATGAAAAGAAAACAGAATACTGTAAGTAGTTTCATCCCTCTATTTAGTAACATTTTTGTCTTGTTTATTTTAAAAATCATTCAATAAATTAAGTATTAATTTCAAGATTAAGAAAGAATGTGAAAGAGGAAATTTAAACAAAAATAAACATTGAGTTCAATTTCGTGGATTAGTTGAAGTTAGACATTAACACCGTTGCATACCGACTCAGTGGTCTAGAGGTCCTGGGTTCGAATCTCGCGGGAGCGGGGGCGGAGTAGTGAATACGCACTGCTGAGAAGTCTAATACTAGGACGAAACGGCCATCCAGTGCTTCCATGTATTCCATGGCGGTCTAGCTTCAATTGACCCATGATCTCAACCATTAAAATTACTTAAAGGTGAATTGATAGTCAGTAGTGTCTCAATGGAATGAATAAATAATTATGTTGATTCAGTAGGATATATACTTGAAGTTTTTGAATTTGTTGTTTAGAGGGACCATAGACATGTACTACTGAGTTGTTCCTAGCTATAGTAAAACAACTAAACAAGTCTTAAAGTCTTTTCCACTATTTCTCAAGTTTTGTCAGTTTACAATGAAAATTAGCGATCAGTAATACGTACAACATATTTCTGTAGATCCAGATACCACTGAATTTCACTGAAATCAGTGTTGTATTATCTGATATTTTTGATTAAGATCACGAATGAATGAATGTCAGACTACCATTAAAAACCTGAAAGCACTGGACGGCCGTTTCGTCTTAGTATGGGTGTACACTTCAAAGGAGTCCCATACTAAAACGAAACGACCGTTCAGTGCTTCCAGGTTTTCAGTGGTAGTCTGACATTCATTCATTCATTCATGATTTCAAACAAAAACTCAACAATCTCCACAACTCTATTGCTAATATCTGATATTTATAAAACACTGAAGAAAATGATAACGATTTTATTCAGTTTCTGAAAATAACACATTCATGACCATGTTCCCCAATCAAATTTAAGAAATCAACATCCATGCCAAGCTAAAATACAATCATATTTCAGACAAATACTAATATCACATGATATTTGTAGCTAAATATATGTAAATTAGTTGCATATGTCAATTATTCACACAAACTTTTCACATGATAAAAGTGGTGTTGTTTTTGAAAAACAAAAGTAAAAAAAAAGAAATCAGAACATTTAACATTTTCTTTCTAATTGCACTTCATATCAATTCAGTAATTTAATCAAGTTGATTTGGTTGATAAACAAACGTGTTTAATATGAAATAATGATCTCGTCATATATTAAATTCTTAAACAAATTAGGTAAACTTCTTTGTTTTGTTTTCGTATAGTTTTGTTGTTATTATAAACTGGTTATATTCATGTAACTTTTTTTAGTGGAAATGAAATGCTAAATGAAAAACAATCAACAATTTAAAAAAAAACACAACTGTAAATATGTATACATGAAATTTTGTTTGTAGTTAAGTGATTTATCTAATTGTGATATATTTGTATTTCGTTGTTGGTGTTGTTGTTAAATTCACATATTCCGGTGATTACAATATTAAAACGTTATATGATAGTCTTAACTTGAAATCCATATAATCAGATACATCAACAAATATATTCATAAGAATAAAAAGAACTTCCCTGTGTTATTAAGTGATTTTATTAAACACTTCTGTGTAATATTAAGTGATTCCAGAATGATTTCATTAGTATAGTCTACATTACAAATCATACTATTATAATGTGTGATACTGATTAATTGTTTGTGTAGAATAAAATATTCATTATATTTCATAAGTTAAAGACAAAATGTTTTTACGGATTCGAATTGTGCTTACTTCTAGTTTTTTTGTGTGTTCTTCTGAAACATCGCTCACAGTCAGTAACAACATAGAACTCCGTACGTACGTACATCAGTTCGAGTTGTTATACCACATTAGCACAGAGATACAGTTGTCCATTCACATCCCGTAGTGGTAGAGGTAGTAAGAGTATAAGCAGTAATCGAAAAGATTAGGGTTTGGAGATGTTATTTAAAAAATATCATCCAGTGAAATAAATTTGGGAAGAGAAAAGAGAGACAAAAAGGAATCAGGAGATTAGAATTTGGAAGAACACCGCTCTATTTATAATTAAATGATGGTAAGAGTTTTTTTAGCGAGGTAGTTTTCTATGGGATAGGGTCGCTAACCCCATGCCCAATCCTCCCCCCTTATCCGGACTTGAGACCAGCAGTAGCTCCAGAGGGGCTTCAGGCTGAGTTAATTAAGCGATCTATAATGTGTATATAATGTTTTTTCCTTACGAAACTACTGTTTAAATTCCTAGTAACATCTTGTTTTTGCCTGTTACCTGTAAACGTTCACATAGTTCATACGTACAGCGCCGATTTTTCTAAACCATAAACCATTAGTATAAATACATTTAAAGTGGAAATTTGTATCATTAATGAATGCCAAAAAAAAGAAAATATTTAAAAAGAAATATACTTTCTCCTTTTAATGCCTTTTTAAAATTCTCTTCCGATAAAAATAATTAATAACAAAACAAACAATATTTTACCAACTATGAAATGTAATTACTGGTAGTTATGACAACACAGACCGTTCACTGTTCTTATGCTTTCACATTTTCCACATGACACTTGAACCTTCAAATTTTAGGTGGTAAATATAAATCTTAACTGATTCTATTTGTGTATGTGTTTCTTTTTAAATAAATTAGGTCAATTTATAAATGAATTTAAAACAATTTTTTTTGAAAAATTCCCTGGTGTAAAACAAACAAAAACTTTATTCAAAAATATTTTGGTTGTTGTTGTTGTTGATTTAAATAGAAAGTTTGTAAACAAAGATGAAATATTAATTTTGAATGATACAAAGAAAATTAAATGTTCAGACTAATTGGGAATCTTTCTATAGTCTGAAGCATTTTTTCTATTTTGAAAAGAAAATAATCAGTAATTAATTCTTTTTAAAATGAGAAAAAAATTATTTTTGAAACGTTTACAATTAGATTTTTGTTACCATGACATTGAGCATTTCAATTTATTACTGTAGTGAAATAAAGTCTCATCGGAAAAAAATTCTTAAATTCTATCCATCTTTCAAGACTATGAACTATGAAATGAGGTCGAATGAAATAATCTGAATGTTTGTTTAAATTTAATAATTTAATCTTCCAATAATCAAACAATTTAGAATCGACTTTTCAGATTTTCGTTACCCATGAAAAAAGATACTGATCACTATGGCTTTCCCATTAATTTTCTGAAGGTTTTGTGAAAAGATAGTTTAGTCTGAAATTGACAAGTTTTTTGTAACCAAGTGAATTATCGAAATTATCAGAACATTTTTCACTTCCAACTGTAACTATACGTTGATCATCATCACTCAACCATTGATTGTCCATTAAATGTTACTTAAATTAATGATTATAGATATGATATTTCTTGGGCAAAGTTATAGGCCTAAAAACACTTAATGTTAGATGACTGACGATATTTAGAGTTTTTTTCCTTCGAGAGTTCATCAATGTCTAAAAACTATAATTTCTGTTCTGTTAAAATATAAGAAATATAATTATAAATATTTTTCCTTATTTTTCTATTTGTCGTTAGGTTAAACATATTGAAAAAATTGAAAGTTTGCCGGTGAGTACTAGTGAAATACAACGTTACAGAACAATTTATCCTTACTATTCATTTAACAAATCTAGAAGACCGGTCAATTATCACTGTTATTCAAAACATCTACAACAAAGACAACAACGAAAAAAGAAAATGATAAGATCTCATAACTCACTTTGCGAATTACAGTCTTGTAAAACGAATTCACCAGTAAATTATGAAAATTTTCCTACAGAAGCAATAAAAACCAAATTGACATTTTCAAATAAAATATTTTGTCCTTTATGTTTAAATGGACAAGCATTTATAGAGTTCACTGAATTCATGAAACATTTAAAACAAAATCACTCAATTTCTGAATGTGAATCAGTTATGAATGTATTTAAAACACAAATGGAATTATACAATGCACAGAATTATGTCTTTCAAACAAGTAATTTTATTACTACAAGTGTTTCGGTGAAACCTGATTCATCCGACTGTAATAATCATATACCACCAATGAACAGTACTGTTACAACTATGTCATTAGCGCAGGAAAGTTCAAACCCTTCCAAAAATAATCCTCCATTCAATACTTCTAACAGTCATAATGATATTATGTATGAATTTCAAGAAAATACTAGTCAGACTCGACTGGTGAATTCAGTAGATGTTAATAAATCCACAGAAATGATACCTTCCATTGTTGTATGTCAACCTTCATTGGTATTATCACCACCACCCCTATCATTGTCAACTCCTTTCTCACCCTTTTCTAATTCATCATCATTACCATTATGTTCTCTGAGTTCTTCTACAATTACAAACTCTGCAGTCTCTACACCTAGACCTCTTGGAAGGCCATTATTTATGCCAATTAATTCTTTCACAAAAACTTTATCTACAATCTAAAAGAAGTAATTATTATAAAAACAAATTTGAGTACATATTCTGATCATTTTAACATAAACACCTATGTATATGATAATTTAAATTCATGTTAATAAAAAAAGAAGAATTTTCGATCTTCAATCACTACCTGTTATCGCATTTATCCTATTATTGATCTCAGTCATCAATGTACTATTGTCCATTTGTTAAGTTTCCAGAAAATCACCAGTATAATATGAGTATATATATATATATATATATATATATATATATATATATATATATATATATATATATATATATATTGGAGAATATTGACTAACAAATGAAAGTTCCAAAAATAATTTCTACTCATTTTACCAATGTAAAATATAGAAAATACTGACTTATTTGTTTGTTTTAAGCATACAAACTCATGCTCTATTTATAATCATTACTAACTCAAATAAGCAGTTAGTGAATACCTATCTTCAAATTCTATATATTTCATATATTGTTTTAATTTTCTTTCTTATCTGTTTTTATTAAATCAAGAATAAACAAATGCAAATGAATGAATATATTACTTCAGTAAAACAAAGCAAAATGAATTTCCAATATCATCTGTATTTCTTTTCTAATAACATTTTTTCTCACTTCCTAATGATATTACTTATAATTAATTAATATCATTTTTCCTTTTTTTTTATAAGGTTTGTACATATTGTCATGTATACTTTAAATTTGAACAGTTTTTACGTATGTTTTAGTAAGAGAATCAACAGTTGAGTATCAAAGCAGGTACATATACAGACTCACTTATGGACATACATCATTGCATACAGATATATACAGACTAGAAGGTTAACATGCACTAACAAATCATTTCACAGTCAATGTAACCGATTATATATATATATATATATATATATATATATATATATATATATATATATATATATATATATATATATATATATGCTACATTTGTGATTGTAACTATAAGCAAAAACATGATAAATAAACTATAAAAAAGGAAATAAAATGAAAAGAGGAAAGACAAAGAGAGAGAGAGAGAGAGGAAAGGAAAGGAAGAGAGGTAAAAGAAGATTGAGTATCAAAATTTATGAGATTAATTCTTGCAGATATAAATATAAAAGTACAAAATAAATAATAAATATATTATTCATTTTATGTGCAAAGAAAAATTAAATAAATTTTCTGGTGTATTGTTTTATTTCTTTGGATAGTTTACCGAGTAATAATTTCTCATTCTCTGGTGTTATTACATAATATCGTTACTTTTAGATGTTTATGTTAAATAAATATCTTCTAAAATGTATATTTGAAAAGAATAAGAGAATATATGTGTTTGATAATTATATTTTCTATGAATCAAATTTAGATTAAAACAAATTCAACCGGGTCTGTTGTGAGATAGTAACCCACTGATGACAATAGTTGACGGTGGTGCAATTTCGTGGATTAGTTGAAGTTAGACATTGACAACGTTGGATACCGGCTCAGTTGGTTTAGAGGTTAGGAGATCGCGTGCGAGACTGATAGGTCCTGGGTTCGAATATTGTGAGGTGGAATCGTAGATGCACACTGCTGAGGAGTCCCACACTAGGACGAAACAACCGTCCAGTGCTTCCAGATCTTCCATAGTGGTCTATCTTCAAATGACTCATGATCTCAACTATTGAGTTAAGATGAAAATTAACAGTCGGTAATAATAAAATCGTGGTAGATATTAATTGTCAAGTGAGAAATTCAGTATAAGGAACAATGAATCTGGTAAGAAACCATGAAGATGATTTTTAAAATAACTGAATCATACCAATAAACTGTGGTTATTAGTAATCCGAATGAGTTACGAGAATCGTATAACTTTCCCAAACACTTAATTACATATTCATTTTATGTGATAAAGATATGTTCGAAAATTGTAGAATTATAAACATTCATAGATGTAATTAATCACTTTAAAATAAACACTGGTATATCAAACAGTTATCTTTATGAAAATCATTGACTGCAATTCATGCTATATTCTAGACAATTAGAAAAAAACAGTTACATTTGTTAATTACGATTGCATATCATGGAAAATAAATCGACCAGCTCTTTTGCGACAAGGAGATAATTAGCCTTTGAAATTGGTTTATGTGGATAGATAACCTCAATAAATACAAAAATGTTCTTGAAACCTTTTTGCCATTTTTTAAACTGTAAGCAAACAGGAAGGACAAGTAGGAATTTAATATTGTTGTGTATGTACGGTTTGTTTGAATAGTTTTAGAATTTTAGTTTGATCAATCACTAAGTGATAACCGATGTCGTACTTATCTTTTCCTTAGCGTTGTTTCAATTTTATGGATCGATTTGTAAAAAGATGCCTAAGTGATTTGTTACTGCAAACACTGCTATCTGATGTTGAGTGTTAAGAAGAAATTCGTCGAAAAAACAGAATCTAGTCTTTGTACTAGTTGGTACTTCCTAACAGAGGATATCTTCTATCTTAGAGTTTTTAAAAAAGCTTTTCTGCATTGAAATTTCAGACAATGGAACTTAGTTACACTCTTATCTCAATCTTCTGTACTGCCTAAAGTAGTTCTACTAATGTTTCCACGGAGCTCCAGTAATCTTTATTACTCCACTCATTGAAAGGTTAACGAAATGGTGCTATAGAACTACAAAATAAAGATCTGTCTAAGCAGTTGTAGACCACATCAATGCTTATTACTCAATGTTTCACAAATAACATGATCTATTTTATGGTTACCATTGAAGAATCAAGGGAAAGGTATCCAGTTCTAGTCGAATTATATTTCAGGCGAAATTTACAAAGTCAATGGAGTATCATTTTTTGTGGTTTTACACTCACGTCATTTAATCTTTTTTCTGTGATGGTACAACAGACTTTATCGTTTATATTGACAGTTTTAAGTATCACCTACATGATTCATCAGGTGAATAATAGCTAACATTTAAGAAGATAATTGCTTATCAAAGTTCTAAAATACATTGAAGACCAAGATGCATCTGAAGTCCATAGGGATTTAATTCAGTTATGCAGTTGAGGAGTGGTATGATGATTAGTGCTTAGTTTTTTATGTGTGGTCAGAATCTTCCATAAATGTCTCTGACATTTCTTAGTTTTCATTTAGTTCATTTAATGTTGCTGTATCTTTTACTGTTCATAGATAATAGTAAACCAAATGAAAACATGTTACTAATCTGTATCTCGAAAACGTCCTTTCATAGTGCAATTATTGTGGTTTATCATTTATGGTTCGTTGTGACTTATTATCTGAAATATTTAATGATATGGTGGGTCTTAAAATAAAATGCATGTTGCCACTTAATATGCAACTCCGTTAATCCAGTTGACAGACTTGGGACAAATGGATATTGTTTGGGAATGTCGGTCGTGAGAGGCATAGTTTAGAAATTGAGTGGGCAAGATATACAACATTCTCCTATCGAATCAGTACGGGATTACGAATTAGGAATCTTTTAAATATTGACGTTTGGTTTCAACGTATTTTTATGATTCAAGAACAAAAATATTTCTAGAATGTCAGAGGAATGATTACACTAAACCTTTTGTGCAATCAAGAAGGCGAGTGAGCCAATTCAATTTAACCGTGTTAATCGATATTTATAGTCTGATAGAAATAAGTGACAGACATGTGATGAGTAATATGGGAAATGCACATACATACGCTTACATGAAATCAGTCACGGTTGATAAGCGAATAATTAACAAGGTCAAAATGTGACTCAAGCTAGAATAAGCTGTGTCGACTTAACATATCAGCTGACACAACAAATCACATCTAATAAATGAAATAACAATGCTAGAATAGTTTGAATGAGGGATATTTATAGTATTGAGAATTTTGTAGATTGGTGAGTTTACAGTCATGCTTAACGGACTGTGCAGTTATTTCCTCCTAGTATGTTACTTCCCAACAGTGTCCATCGAAGTTCCATCCAGGAATTGAACGCAGAACCTTCAGTTTTCAAAAAGGACACTTGCTCTTCAGATCACTGAGTTGATATCCAATAATTTACATTTCTAACTTTAGTTAGTTTTCCATATTGTGCTACCTAACACAGTTGAATCCCAAAGAACACCACTGAATGCCAACTCAGTGGTCTGGAGATTACGCATTTATTGAGAAATGCTGAAAATCCAGGATTTAGTCACTGCAGAGGTTGTAGTCTTGCACTATTGAGGAGTTTTATAATGGAACGAATAGTTATCAGGTGCTATAAAGTGCTTCGTGTCCTTATTACTAAGAATAGTCCATGATGTTTTACTTACTTACCCTACTTACGTCCGTTACTCCTACCTCACGTGGAGCATAAGCCGCCCACTAGCATTCTCAATCGAACTCTGCCATGAGCAATCCTTTCCAGCTGTTTCCAGTCACCTTTCATGTCTGCTTCCAATTCTCAACTCAGTGTGTTCTTTGATCTTCCTCTTTTTTGTTTCTCTTCAAGATTTCAAGTTAGCACCTACTTCATGATGCAGTCTTATGATTTCCACAATGTATGTCCTATCCACATCCAACACATTTTTCTAATTTCCTCTTCAGTTGGAAACTGGTTTGTTCTCTCCCATAGTATGCCATTACTAATAATATCTGATGGTATCCATGATGCATAACTGCAAAATTAAATGAGAATATGGTTGAAAATATGGGACACGAGGTCAAACACTTGCTTTTCTATTTTTCTTGCTCCTAACAATTGAGAATGAGACAAAAAAAAGAAATTGATGATAAAAAGCGATAGTCACTAAAGAAAGCTATAGACTAATCTAGTTATTCAAATTGGCTATTCAGTTCATATTGTTGCGAAATTTTTTCTTTAGCTGTTCTTACTCTTTTTTTGTGACTTGTAAAAATTCAATAAAAAATTGATTTTCTTTTTTTTCACAATTTTCCGATTGATTTGTTACAAATTTCTTCTCAACCTCCTTTTTATCATTTCGTCCGCTTTTTTTGTCCCGTTTTATCTTTTAGCGTTAT